GCAAATCATCGCAGGATTACTCTTATTTCGGTTGCCCCTAAGCTATTGGCATCCATTCTGCTTCGCAGATTATCCCCAGTACGTTAGTCATACTACCGTGAAAAACAAGCTGGTTTCCGTCCTGGCCGCGCATGCGTGGATCAAATCATCACGCTCCGCCAGCTCCTAGAACATCGCCACATTTATCACAGGCCCACTACCACTGTATTCCTAGACATACGTGCCGCTTTTGACTCCGTTGATCGAACTGCTTTTTGGCATTGCTTGCTAAATAACGGGGTGCCAGAGAAATATACCGCCATCTCACGAGCACTTTACCTTCATACATCCGACAGACTGAGGGTCTATGGCAAGCTTTCCTAGCAATTCGCTGTCAATAGCAGTGTGCGACAGGGCTGCCCTATGTTCCCATTCCTCTTCAACTTCGCAATCCAGGACGTTCTGTCGAATGCTCTAGAAGCTTTCCAACATTTTAGCCTAGAGCTTCTACCAGGTGAGCGCGCGACCGACTTGGATTATGCTGATGATATCGCCTTACTTGGTGACGATCCTCAGAGTATGCAACTCATTCTGGATCGCTTGACGGTTGAAGTATCTAAGTATAGCATGGGCTTCGCCCCATCGAAATGTAAAATACTGCTCAAGGATTGGCTTTCACCTGCTCCCGTGCTCACTCTCGAAGGTGCACAACTTGAACAGGTAGATAGTTTTGTCTACCTTGGGGCTGTGTTTCTGCTGACGGCACAATCAACAAAGAAGTTTCTCTTCGTATCGCTAAAGCCCGATCAGTCTTTGTCAACCTGAGGCACTTTTGGCGTCATGGCGACGTCTCATTCTCGCTAGAGGGCCGCGTTTACAACGCATCAGTTCGCTCAGTATTGTTGTATGGGAGCGAATCCTGGCCGATTCGCGTGGAAAATATGCGTCGTCTTTCTGTCTTCGATGACGGTTGTTTAAAGAGGATCGCTCGTGTTTGGTGGCAACATCGAGTTCATAGTAATGACGTTCGACGTCGCATCTTGGGGAATGCGAGTATTCCCTTTAACAAACGGGTTTTGCTGCATCGATTGAGATGGCTTGGTCACGTCCTACGCATGGCACCTGAGCGTCTATCGCATCGCGCTCTATTCGCTCGTCAAGGACCTGGCTGGAGGCGACCGCGCGGTGGTCAGCCTTCCAATTGACGGCAGCACATGAAATCGTTGACGTCCTGTCTAGCCGCTGTTGGATCCGTAGGTCTTCCAAGATGGGGACCCAAAGATGAGGAGTGCCAATGGCTTAGCACTCTTGAAGACATGGCCCGCAACCGGAATCAGTTTAAGAATTGTGTACAGTATTGTATTGATTCACATGTCTAATACTACAAACATTAAAAATGCCAAAAAAGCAAAAGCGGCGTATGAAAAAAAACTAAAAATGTTTTGTTCTACTTTTGTCAAAATGTTCCATACTTCCTGCGGCATATTAGCTGAAGTGTGTTTTGCTCACCTTCAACTACTATGCCACAATGATTACAACGCAGTGACTTCCCCTTATCTGCTAATCTCCATAGCTCTGTTGACTCTATGTCTAGTTGCTAGGCTGTTGAGAATGGTTGGCGGAATCCGGTTTCGGATTTGCCTGTCGCTGTGGCCAGCCACAGGACGTCTGCGCCTACAGAGAGACCATGGATGGCTTGCGCTGCACCACCCACAGCTCCATGCACACATCCCATATCCAGTGTAAACCCAAAGGAATAAGACAGGGATGCATGCGGATGGGAGCCACGTTTCATCAACGGAGCCATCCCACACTCCTTCACAGACAAACACAAGCACGCTGTATTTGGGGAATCAAGCGCATACAAGGCCGTGGGTGGACCGTAGTGCGCTCCACACTGACTGCATGGAACCACTCCTCAAGCCTAGCACGACCACAAGGACCGTGTACCCCGTCCCCTCCAGCAACGACCAACTGTCTCCTGGAGCCAGTATGGACGAGGTAGTGGGTAATAGACAGGTGGGCACCTTGTCAACATGCACATCAAGCGCAGTCACATCTGGGATGTCAAACAACAGCCAATCATTCGAAATGCCGATATCGAATAAAGTAAACGCTATGACGACATAAATACTCGCTAAATGAGCATATAGAAGAAATTGGTTACAAGTGAATCCGTGATAAGTACGAAACGCCGAAAGTTATTTAAAAAATACCACGCGATAAAATTACGCACATTTACCACAATTTGCATAAGCGACGTGTGCAAGTAAGGAGAAGATTATCAAGTACGCAGAACAGACCAAATAACATGTAATGAATTTTATCCACATTAAAAAGACCTAGTTTAAGTGTAAGTTGGTTTAGCACAACTGCGGTGAAGAAGCATCATGAATGCAACATCAGCCTCAGCAAGATTGGTTGGCGGCATCCGGTTTCGGATTTGCCTGTCACTGTGGCAACCCACAGGACGCCTGCGCCTACAGAGGGACCATGGATGGCTTGCGCTGCACCACCCACAGCTCCAACCACACACCCCATATCCAGTGTAAACCCGAAGGAATAAGACCAGGAGGCATGTGGATGGGAGCCACGTTTCATCAACGGAGCCGGCCCACACTCCTTCACAGGCAAACACAAGCACGCTGTATTTGGGGAATCAAGCGCACACAAGGCGGTGGCTGGACCGTTGTCTGCTCCACACTGAGTGCATGGAACCACTCTTCGAGCCTAGCACAGCCACAACGACCGTGCACTCCGTCCCCTCCAGCAACGACCAACTGTCTCCTGGAGCCAGTATGGACGAGGTAGTGGGTAATAGACAGGTAGGCACCTTGTCAACATGCACATCAAGCGCAGCCACAATGGGGATATCACGCAACAGCCAATCACTTGAAACGACCAAATAAAATAAAATAAATCCAATAATGCATATAGATACGGTGGCATAACTCTTCGCTAAATTAGCATATGAAGTAAGTTGGCTAGCAATGAATCCGCGATAAGGAAAAAATGTCCACAAGTTACTCAAAAATGCTACAAACGCAACAAAATTATCGAAGATAAGCGCAATTAGTGTAAGCAACAAGGCCAGCAAATAGAAGACTATTCAGATAGACAAAACTAACCAAATAAACTGGAATGAAATTTATGCAGCTTAAAGAGACCTAGTTTGAGTGTAAGTTGGTTTAGCCCAACTGCGGTGAAGAAGCATCAAGAATGCAACATCAGCCTCAGCATGGGGCACCTCAGCAAGATTACCTACATACATACATACATAGTCATCAGTCGGGCGCCCATGCCAATGGGTTCACCCACCAGCGGGCCATTTAAGCGATCGGATAGTGCAAATCCGACCCCATGTTCAAGTGTTGCTGGGGCGACGTTTCCCACCCAGTAGAATGTGGAGTCGGCACCAGTTTCATGCAACTTACCTTGCTCAGCAAGCCGCGTTTCGCTGAGCGCCGCAATAGCAATGCGGTGGCGCACCAATTGCATCGCAACCAGTGCAGTGCGTCGTTCAGGGCGCTCACTCGAGTTCCGGCCCAGTAGAGTGCGCACATACCAGCACCCGATGCTGAGCGCTTTGCGCAGAGGCATAGGATTGCATTGGTGGGCAATCGGAGGCGTGGTTGTGGTGGTGCTTCGGACACACACACACACACACACATATATATATATATATATATATATATATATATATAATAGCTTTGAGGTGGCACTTGGAAAGTGCCACCTAGCGTAGCCCAATAGGTCACTGAGGTACATAAAGCATCGCACTAAATGAAGGCGCACCGCCAATGAGCCAGTCGACTACGATGACCCCATCTAGGAAAACGCAAGACATCAATCAACTCGGTCAGTTTACTCGCACCGTTCTGTCATGTTACGGACTTGTCACACCGAGCCTTCAGCCAACTAGACACAATAGTCTCCAACCATGAAGTCTGAGGATTCCGTTGGACAGCAGTGATGGCATAACGTGACTAGTGTGGCGGATTCTAGTTTAGTAGACGGTCCGGTGTGTCGGAATTATGTTGTCAAGCTCCAACTGATGGTGCTCCAAGCAAATGATCCATGATAAGCAAGTGTTGTACAGCTTATCACGACATATAAATAAGTGGTATGAGCTTGGAGCAGCACCAATAGCTTTGATTACATGTGAAGGAGCATGATAGATGAAGTGACCAACGGATCTGATACAAGGTCCTAGATACGTGCACCGATCAACAATTTCGGGCGGCCGCTCAGTGATTGTGAGAACAGATGGGGTGGAGCTCGGTTAGGCACGTGGCACTGAGATGTGAAACATATGCAAAAGCAAGCAAAGTGTGCACATTTGAGTGCAACTCAGTGAGAATTGTCTCGTCCGCGCAAGTCAGGTCCGTTGGACGAGAATCAAATATAACTGATACTCCAAAATAATCGAAACAGTGGAGCCACTGACGATCATTTGGATCAGGGTTGGGGAGAACAGGGAGAATAAGGTAGTCCTGGCTGATTTCGCCAGTTAAGAGAACTCAAGGAACCGCACATAAGGACCGTACACAGCCTATGGGGTGAAGATATAAGGAGGAAAAGGTAGAAAGAAAGTTATTCTGCGCGCCTTTTGAAAAGGGAGGTAAAAGAGAGGGCTAAATTCGTCCGACATTGAATGTGATTTGAAACAACCCGAAGCAAGTACCAGGCAAGTTATCCGAAAGATACAATTGAGGTAGGTTAGACCTCATAACATTGCAGCGGATAGGAGATATGGCGGTAAACCAGAAGCAAGATAACAGAAACCTGCAAACAACTAAATGCTTCACACCAGATATACAAAAAGCTATACAAGAAAGCGGCAGTTCAAAGCCCACAAGACGGAGAACGCTGACTCCCGAAAACTGTCTGAAAAGCAGATGAACGCTAATAGCCGCGCGGCCGTTGGCTGCATGGTGACAGAGCGACTACATGCTCACTCCAGTGTACACAAACATCAGAACAAGAAAACGACAAGGTGCCACTGCGGCCTTTCGTCGTACCTCATCTCGCGCAGTCGGTTGACATGAGTGACCACCTGATCAATGGTAAAATCGACTTCTTCCTCTGTAGTGAAACGACCGATGCCAAAACGAATGCTTGAATGGGCGAGGTCCTCTTCAGCTCCTATCGCACGTAACACGTATGACGGTTCGAGGGAAGCGGACGTGCAAGCACTGAGGACAACGGAAGCAAAAGTTGGCGCGATAAACTTAACTGAGAGAAGTCAATATGAACAAGAGGTAAAGATGTGAAAAAAAACGTGAGGTTTACAGGAGTAAGGTGGGCAGTTAATAACTAATTGCTAGTTTTGTTCTTCGAGAAAAGAAACGAGAAAAATGTAAACTGCACAACACAAGATAATAGTGATCCAATGAATAGGTAGTGCAAACGAGTGTTGTGCTTAATTGGCCAGGCCACGTAGCACACCTCGACGCTATACACATGGACCCAGATTTAGCAGTAAACCTGGCCTTGGAAATTAATAAATGCCAAAGCGACAGCGGTTGCTCACTTAAGATACATTACAAACAGTGACAAAGTGCGCTACTTGTGTGCATGGGCAGGGTAGACGAGAGAGGTCGGTTTCATTTAGGACGACTCGTCATCCCGCAACCGGAGAGGTTGGGAAACTCAACAACATCAGTATAAACAGTGGGCATGCCAATTGAGCTACTAAAGTATCACTACATACCCAAAGGTTTAGTTGTTCTTTGTACAAAAAGTGATGAACACCTCACACCACCGATGCACAGCTGGTGGGACGCAACTACTACACCATAATGGCACAGTTGTAGCGATCTCATAAACGTGAGAAGCACCTCATCGGGGGCTGGGATTGGAGAAGGGGCCTATATGCTCCCATTACACGAAATGTGATAGCACCAAGCGAATTGTGCGCGAAAACTAGAAATGAATGGTGAATAATTGACTAAAAGGAATTGGAAATCGATTCGAATTATTAGTTGCACATACGAATGGGCTGCTCATGGAGAGCGCTAGTACGTAAAGCACAAGCAAATAAAAACAGATACAAGCATAGTTGCATGCAATACAGTTGCACATTAGAGACAGAATGAGTCTATTGGTAGAAGCTGTTAGTGAAAAGGGAAGAGCTAAGCGCGAATACACAACAGCAATGTGTCTGGAGGGTAATCCCTGGTAATCGTGTACACAGCATGTGGTATGCCGACGGGGGAATCAGGTGGCTGAGGTAAATACGAACTGCCGCGAGGAATAGAATGGGTATACCATCGTACTGTACTCCGTTTCCCAAGAACAAGTTACGCCTCGTGTCAGTAAGACCAGCATAACACACGGTGAAATCTGAGTAGTACCGATTCGTCTTGTACACAGCCAATGGAAGCCCCGGGGTCTGGAATGATCGGTAAAATAGGGCGATGAACACTGGAACCATCGCTGGAGACCAACGGACAGCTGGCTAGCCGAGCCACTTCCCCGTGGTGCTAGCTGGGTGGTTCGGGTTTACCCCGTTTGAGCAAATAGTTCGGCAGTAGGGTTCCGGGACGTGGTGCGTTTTCGTCTAACAAGCGTTCTCCTTATAAAAAGCCACAAATGTCCGTTTAACAACACTGACGCGGTGGATGTGACTCCCCACTAAATAAAGTCACTGGATCTTACGTATCCGGATGATCTAACGCAATCCACAGACGTGGATCATCCAATACGAAGAGTGTATTTCACTCCCCACGCCTGACCAAAATCAAACACAGGTATGTCGTCACATTCACAAATCCGAGCAATACAAGCATACTTGTTCCTGCTTACATGCATTCATACACACTTGTGCCGCTGTTACATTTACTATTCCTTGTTGTATCACCATGATCATGCCCATGCAGGCGTCTCGCACTGTCGAGAATGGAACATTTATTTATTTATAAGACCACTAGAGGAGCCTGTTCCAAAGACCGATTAATGAAAGTCTCTAAAAGAGCGCTACTAGAAGCCATTGGTGTAATTAAGATTGCATTCTGTGTTTAGCTGATGAATCCAAAGGGAAATAATACTGCTATGCCACCGTATATCTGTGTCATTAATAACATAAAATGTAACCCCTTATAGTTTCAAATGCTATGGACATAACGTCTAGTGAGAGGAAATCATGACCTTCAAAGGCTAGTTACTGTCATCTGCTAGGGTAGTAACCTGCGTGGCAGTGGAAGATAGGTCGTGTTATATCCCAGTTAGCATGCAAAGTATATACCCAAGCCAACGTCCTCCATGGCTCAGTGGCTTAAGCTGCTGGCCAGTTGGTATCTGGCTCTAGCGGTCATGGGTTCGATCCCCAGTATGGGACCGAGGGGATGCGCACCACTGACAACCCCCATAGGGCGAAGTGCGTCTGGTGTTTTTCCGAATGAGGCTGTGCTATGTAGCTTGTGAGCAACTGGGACGAAAACATTAGAAGTACAATTCTCATTTTATTTGGCCGAGGCAGGGAGCCCAACACATTAAAAGGCTGCGACTAACTGCTTAGTTAAACTTCAGCTGGAACACAATAGCCGTGGCTTCAATCGAGCAGTGTTTATGAACATAACTATCAAGCCACATAGACTGCATCGCGGAATGCGACCGCAAAAATATGTAGAACTGGAAGAACAAACCAAGCCTATGACCTAAAGCGAAGAACAAAACAGCAGAACAGTGTGAATAATTAGGCATCTTTCATGGAGAGGAGGACATGTCAACGCTAGCACACACGCTTTACCGAATCGATAGGTATACAGAAGCTCGATGGAGCTGAATGAAAACAACAGACAAGTATACACTTAATGGTTTACCTGCCAGAAGAAAGAGCCACATCCTTCAGCGCCATGAGGAGACTTTCGCCCTCAACACAAGCAAAGCTTAGGTTGACACACCCAGGATAACGCAGGTTCGGATCACCGTTGAGCACAACGTGTTTGACGCGGGACATGATGCCATCAAGCAACCGCTTGCTAAGCGCGGATACGTGTTCATAGTCGGCCTACGGACAAAAAGAGAGCACTGCGCGATCGGAATAGCTGATGACAAGCTTGGTGATAAAAGCAAAATGTGACCCCAAAAATCGGTAATAAAACGTATCATGTCAGTACAGTAGAAATGCAGAGCCTAGATTAAGCAAACAAGTAACAGACTGCATAACAAAAAGTACCGCTACAAGACCAAACCGACAAAGTGGTGACCACAAAGACAACCACCCAGATATATACACAATGCTGTTAGATTTTCCCAGTTTGCTGCGATTCCGAATAAAAAGGCTTAACTCCTCCGCGAGACTTTTAGTCCGACCGAAGAAAAATCCGAAATTATATGACCTTGACAAGAAAACGTGCCAATCGCCGCCAAAAAACAGTGCACAATGTGGCAGACTTTGGCCAGATTTATGGGTTACCCAATGACCTTCGACATCTAGAACATGAACGTCAAGTGGCAAAATTAGCAGTGCCACACATATCTCCAGGAAGTTCTGCCGTCACGTGCAGGCTTGGAACATGCCAGAATGTTCGAAATTGATGCGATAATCGGTAAAAGACGATTAATTGTTGGAATAATGGTTTTTCCAGGAAATTACTACATACTTCCGGACAAATGCTATGATATCCGATGAAAACGAAATGAATAATGAGGTTGAAGCGTCAGTAGGGTGGTCAAAAAGCTTTAGAGCCACGACTGAATCTTGCCTCTGCGAGATGAATCAGCAGCATTGTGAGAACATAAAAAAATTGTAGAAGTCCGGTAAGACCGAAGAATCGGAACAGTAAGTTATCGAACTCGGAATTACATGAAACAGTCCGCCAGAGTCGGAATACATTGACACAACAGGAGAGCATCACCAGGAAACAGTCGTCTTGTATCCGATGCAAGGCAACCAGTGCTACTAATAATCTAACTCAAGTGCTTGTAAGTTGAGCACACGGTGCTGCTATTTCATATCGTGATGAGCAAGAGAAAAATGAACAAAATTAGACAGGCTCCGCAAGTGAAGCAAACGACCAACCTGCATTTCTTTTCCGGCCAGTTCGCATGCAGAACCGAGACCCACAGTAAGAGCGGTCGGAAGTGTGCCTGACCGCATGCCACGCTCCTGGCCACCTCCACTTTGCTGTGCTTCTAAACGCACGCGCGGTCGGCGCCGAACGTATAATGCTCCCACACCTTGTGGTCCATAGATTTTGTGTCCGCTGAGGGATAACAGATCAATCTGTAATGAGGGTAAACGCAAAACTGGCATTCACTGTAAAAATGCTCGCCGTGTGATGTACCCGGAGACACAGTAGATATAAAGGAAGGAAGCAGAAGCATTATTATAAGAAGCATGATTGGGATTAGTACTCAAGCAAAAAACATCAAAAGTTGGAGCATGATACAAATCGTTGTAAGTAAGCATGTGGTAAGAATGGACATCAGATTGGCGCGAAGGGATGTGCATCTCTGCGATCAAACGAGCTGTACTGCGCGGCGAGTTCCGAGTGATTCCTCAGATAATTCAAGGAGTAGAGGTTAGAAGAAGACTGTGTCATTATATGTTCCATAAGTGGTTCATCATCATCATTTTACAGGTTTGTTAAAAGTGAGAAGCACTTCAACTAGTCTGCCGCAACTTCTCGGTGGGTTAGGGAAGCTCGAAAGATATTCCTTCAATATTCGGTCATAAAAGGTAATAGTTGGCGATTGGCGTGGAGCACAAGTATCACGCAATGTGGCTGAAGGTAAACGAGCAGACCTGTTGCTGCTCAATAGCTTGCTTCAAACCTAACAGCTGTTGTTCAACAAAGAGTATGCCCAAAACTTTACCAGCAGCTAACTGCGGTCGCATATGCAACTGATAAACAAGCATAGTGTACTGAATCAGTTAGGGCTGTGACCAGCGGATCCTCAAGCAGATCTCATAGGAGTATGCAACCACACCACCCAAAGCAGGTATGTTTTCATTGATCCCCAAGCAAAACCATATCTGTCGCATCAGAGGCTACTAAATCAAGCATCAAAGATGAGACCTCAAGATTATGAGTGCCTTCTGTGAATGGTTAGCCGAAAAATATTATTTACTCACAAAGTCGCATTGCCACCCCTGCTCCTTTTTCAAGTGTATTCTGTTGGCTATTCAACAAAGCACCTCTGAACCCGCCGACCAATGTAAAAGGACAGATGGGTTATATTTCGAACCTAACGTTGCGTTTCACACACATTGGTTGGTTAAGTAACGAGCGAGATTTGCATTTACTCTGCACTCAATCAGGGTCGATGCACAAAGCAGTACTCAACGGAACCAGTAGTATACAGAGCCAAGGACTTAAAAAAGTGCCCCTCTGTCATATGTACGGTATTGGACCTAGTGCACAGATATATATGCAAGAATCGACAAAAAGCGCGTCTCGAGCATCTAAGTTCACTCAAACAGTTTCAGGGGAGTGTTTAAGGCCGAAGTAGTTTACCCATCAAGTGTAATCGCAAAGTCGACTGTCACTGAAATAGGAACAGGACGAAGCCGATGCAGATTGGAACCACCTCTAATGCCCCATATAAAGGACACTAAGTCACTTTTCGCCCAGTTATTAGACTGAATAGAAGATAGATATCGGTAGATTTTATCAAGCCGCTGAAAACATGAAAAATGGTTCCAGAAAATTCAACGCTAAAGTGTCCTCAAAGGTTGGAGTGATGTCTCACTAGAAGTTGTGTAACTGATTGGGTATGTCGGTAGATAGCGATAGCCCCTAAAAAGGGGAATGGTGTCACTTGCAAGAGTTGAGTGCAGTCTCAGCCGAGCCAGCTATAAAAAGATGAACGGTACGCTCTCAGATCAAACGATCTGAATGTTGTGCCGGAAACTCCGAAGAATTCAGCCGGTACGCTGTGTCAGAGTAGTTCGTTGAGTCACCCGGAATGCCGTGCGACATCAAAGTCACAATCCCGACCAACGGTGAAAACGGGCGAAATTTTCTGCGATTGTTATAAGGAGGATTTGGCTCAGGTGAACCTGCTATATCAATGCTGAATGGTAATAATGCTTAACTGGTGACTAGTCACTATTTTATTTAATATGGAACAGAAGGAAAGCACCTTCCGAAAATGGTCGCCGACTAAAGTTCCTATCATCGAAAGCAGCTGAAAGTAGCTTAGTAAGAACTGTCAACATATTAGATGTGTCCGTTTAACTCCACAGCTTTCATGTGCGGTAAAACGCAGCCGGTCAATGGGCCTCGTGGTGGCTGGATCAGTGAAATTCAGGTGGTCGTATGCCTTGAGTGAAGTACCAATTGCAATTCAACGATTCACGAAGTTTTCGAACAGCTGATAGTAGTCTGAACGGAATCAGTAATGTTGATTTAACCGACTACATATGTTCGTGATAGTACCGACCTTTGAGATATATGTCAGAGTGCTGGCTTGTATTATCAACCCCATATACTGCAACTCCCGGATTTGTGACGGGGTCTAGGGCAAGCAGTTTTGGAAGCGCACCAAACGAAAGAGGGGTTGGAAGGGCTATTAAATCATCCCATTTCTCCGCAGGTTTGTGAATGAAATGACTACGATCGAATCTGTCACATCATTTTCTTGTACAATAACAGGCTGATAAAACTAGAATACATGAAAAGTAAGACCCTGAGGGACCCAGCTACAGTGCAAAGTGCTGATAAACAAACCGATGAGGAGCACTGCACGATGCTGCATGCGCGTCGCACCTTAAAAGCATAATGTACAGCTGCAATGATAGGCGGATGGATCGCAAGTGCTAAGAGGTATTTAGCTACAACTCGAAGCAGTCGAGCAATCCTATTGTCTAGCTTCCACTACAGCTCATCTAATGGTATCGTTAGAGAAAACGCTACGATACACAACAATAAGAGTGGATTACAAAAGTTCCACCTCACACATCGAGACAGTGCGACATATTTACCGCTACAGGTTGTGGAGCAATTTGTTCAATTCAATACATTCAAATAACCGTTACCAAGGTATCGAAGTGCAGTGGATCCATTTGCATCGACACATGTAGTCAGGATAACGACAGTTACTGAATTAGAACGAAAATAGAGGGAGTCCAGGAGAAAGTGAGTGACCCAGGAATTCTAGAGTCCACAACTGCGCCATGCCGGATAAGAATTTCAATCACCCACCCAGAGTACCCCATAAACGACCTGATCAAACTGCGTAGTCAATTTCTTTATACCTTCGTGACACATCATCAACCGACCACACTGCAATTACGCCCACTAAGGTGAAGCGGTAGCACAATGACGCCAAGAAACCCAGTCAAAAAGCACATAGAAGACATAACCTGGGCAACATGAGCGGTTTGAGCTTAGTAGACAATCCAGTGAAGCACTAAAGGTTTTCTTTCAAGCGGCAACTAGTATGTCTCAGCATTTCCTACCGTTTTACTACCAGATG